TTTTTGTGTTCGTTTTTATTTGAAACTTCGTTTATTTAGAATATATTTTCGTTACCAATAAAATAAAAATCTCTCAGTCAATCAGAAACCCGGATTCATGCCTTTGAGGAAGGTCCCGTTTGAACGCTCACATCGGTTTTTTTTTCGTTTGGGGGAAAACTAAAACTGGTCGCAATTTTCGAATAAGAATGAGTCGGCAATTTTTAGTGGAGTCGAAAATTTGGAGGTAAATAAAACACCGAAACCCGGCAAATAAATAGGCGGTCAAATTTTTAGAGGGGTCGAAATTTTGGAGTTTTCGCGGTGTTAATTATTCCATTTCAATGAAACTTAGTACAAAGATGCTCTAGGACAATGTACAAACCTAATTAGTTTGGGGTAAAAATCTGTTCATATTAATTCCCTAATAAGCATAATAATTCATAATTTTTTGGTTCTGTTACATTGCGCAGACCTCATTAGTTTTACACTCAAATCTGGTCATATTAATTTTCTGATTTGCATAATTAGTTTTCAGCTAAGTAATTTCGAATTATATTTAATGTGTCTCCAATACTCTCAGCACATGGGAGTTCTTTCTAAGCTTTCTTTGATTGATGGGTGAAATGTAAATGGCCAATTTTTCCCAAAGTTACAGCAACACGTACTTCTGTTTACTAAATCAACACAAGGTGGCTTGTTGTTATTGATTCGGCCACGATCTAAGATTTACGACCAAAAATGAATATTTGATTTTTATGAATGCTTTCACTAATTAATATAAAAATGTGCATACCAATGGCCCAAGATTCTTAAGAGAATAAATTTATAATTTTGGATATTTCTGAACAAAGACAGAACATAATGGAGGAACTTACATTTAAACAACACAACAATCAACACATTAAGAATATTATTGTTCTACAATATACTGGGTGTTTACAAATAAAACTATTATTATCTAAATTGGCATATCATCTAAGCCATCCAAAAGACAAACATTACCCCAAAACGGCAGTGCATGTGTTTTTTGAATTTTTAAATGTCCGGTGGCCGATTAGAAGTCACGCTGAGACGCGCGTTATGACACCGTCATATTATTATTTATTATTTGCGGGCTATGGCAAAATTTTCTATTGTATCCAATTTCGGTCGGCGTTTCAGGCATTGTTGTTAACGAGTACGACATCGTCACCCTATCGTTGTCGAGAGAACTGCAGATAGTATTAGACAAGATCTTTCGTCCATGTCGTACGCCTCGAAGCTAAACTGCACAACTAAACGCACTATGTGACAGCACTAGCACGTGCAATTTGCACATACAAAAAGTCAGGAGAGACAACAGTTACATTCAATGGAACAAAAAAAAACTATTTAAAAAAAACTGCACAACTAAACTAAAATTCTTGACAGAAAAATATTATCGCAAATATTCAAGAAAGAAACTGAATTTCCAATGAGATAGCACGAGCATATCCAACAACCATGTTTGCATCGCCATCTTTAAAGTGACCTGACTCGTAGGGCACGCTACACCTAATCGTGAAAATTCGTGGTATATGAATAATGATTAGAAAAGTTTGCGCGCTTAGAAATAACTTAAAACGGGAGACGCAATTTGGCGCAATCACACTGTAGTGTACTAGTAAATAAGTAGTAGCTATCTACTTTCTGTGTGATTTTCAGAGCGTTCGGTGTTTTGCATAACATGAAAACCATATATTGATTTCCGTGTACGTAGAAAACACCGATCAAAAACCGTAGTTCAAGAATACTACTTACAACCATTTTAACAACAAATAAAAACACTTGACACCATGCACAAGTTATATATATATACATATGTATAGTAATTAAGCCATAATATTTTTTTATCTGCCGTAAAAAAGACAAATTTCTGTAGTAATGAATTATTGATGTTTTAAATGAGAACATAACGCAACTAGTCGCGTCGTGCAACTCACCGCCTGCTAGTGACGAAGTGTTTATGTGACGTGAATGGGCGGCACGAAACTTTTTCAACTCATCATTATAGTCTGTTGTCCGGGTTTTTGAGAGATGTCACTGAAGACTAGATGACGCAATAACAGTTGTCTATTTGACCGCTTGCCTTCATCTACATTGTATATATATATATA